CCTTTTTGGGAAGGGCTCCATAATACTTCACAATTACCACACTGTCATTACACCACAATATGAAAGGATATTTTCCCCTTTCCCTCTATCCTGGACACCTCTGTAAGTTGGACACATTATCGTGGAACCGCAAGTGTCCAAGTTAGAGAGGTTTTACTGTAACTATGTAATCAACTTACAGCAAAATTTATCGCACACCCATCCACAAGTACCTTAATTAATACCGATCAATCGGTTCACAAGTATGATGCAGAGGGACAGCATGAATTACGCTGTTACCAACATTCTTTCTGGAATCCAGGCTAGAATGGAACCAGCTGCAGAAAGAACAACTAGGAAATGACAGCAGCTGCTGGTGGTAATGCCATTTTGTCTACCTTTTTAACCCCGCCCCCCTACTCCAGCTGGTTCCAAAATACCAACATTAACGCTTCTCTGTCATTCCATGTCACTTAAGTGCCAAAATTTTCATGACCATCTCGCATCATAATTAAAGTTTACAAACTTGATGGGTCTTTTCAGAAAGTGACATTCAATTTTACAATCCTGTCCATTAATTGCAGATACAGCAATGGAATAACAAATGCAACAATGGCACTTATGGTCACTGTGGTTAACAATGTGAATACATCACAGAGCAGGCACAGTTTGCCATGGCTAATGGCTCGCCGCAATGTCAAGTTGGTATTACAGACTGTAGGGCATAAAGGAGCACTAATTCAGACTGGACTCTAATGACATAACCAAAATACGAAATTTCTCGAAAATTCATTCACCAGTTGTAGTTTAGATCCCATCGAATTTATCCCAAACAGATTACAGAAAATACACTTTTAAGAACAATGAAATTTTCCTGTCGGAGAGGAAACAATTTCGGAAATTAGGCACAACGGTGCCCCAAAAGGAGACAGCGGCATGTTTCTCAAAAACGGTGCGTTGTACAAAAAAAAAAAAAAAACGTTCCTCTTGGAAAGACAGCCCAGGACAAATAACCGCCGCTTCTCCTGCTTCTAGGCAGTACGCACCTCTGAAACGTCGGTCAACTTCTGTGAGACTACACGGCGCAACATCATAGCCGACGCCCTGAAAACCTTAAATCTCACATAACGGGCATCACTAGTACCCATAAATATCTGGTGTTTGACGAAATAATGGTAAGACTGGAGACGAAAGAATTTTGCACCCTGTACCAACATGCTCCGTTACTGAATTTAGCTCCATTAGCCTAGGAGAAATGTTCAGAAGCTGCTGCTGTAGATGAAAGTTCAAAAGAGCTGGAGTAGGCAGCACACCAGACGTTGGAAGGAGTGTGGGAGGGAGGGGTCCTCCTCCTGCCCGCGCTGCGCAAGACGACCGAGATCTTGCCGTTCATATACATCACGTGACTTAAGTAAGGTGCACCCGGGTTTTACGCCGGTTGGTACACAACAGGGGTGACATCAAGATTACACGACGGCGAGAATGGTGACGACAACGGACTTCTGGAATGTCGTTGTACCGTGGAATCTCGTAGAAACTGACCTACGTTTCACAGGTGCTTACTGTCTCCATCATCAGGTCGACGGTGGTGGTGGCGACAGAAAGCTCCTCTGAAACGTCGGGCAATTCCTACCAGCGTACACTGTGCGACATCCCAGTAGGTACAAGGAAAACTACTCTAAAATTGTGTAGCCTTCCCCGTGTTCATCTATGCGACAGGCTTAGCATAAACACGTTTTAAATGGCAAAAATATTCAGTTTGATGTATTTCTCTCCTAACTGAATCACAGCTTTTCTTGAAATCTATTAACAGTTGACATAATAATGCCTGACACTTTCCATCCGACATATAATGTCCGAAGAATATCTGTTCAGTGATTCATCAAGTACGCCAAAGTCCAAACTGATTATCTCCAATAACTTTGTCTGTTTTATGATTGTGGGTAGCTGGAGAGGCAAATCCATAAAAATAATCAAGATGCTGAAATAGCCCAGAATGGTTAAGTATGGTAACATTTACATAACAATTACAGTGCTTAGAAACTTACCAACCACCATAAGCGTGAAGTCAAATCCTCTTTTGACGGCCTTCCTGTACACCTGGTTGGGGAGATCGGCGAACCCGACATAGCCGTCAAGTTCCTTCGTGCGCCTCTCAGGAACTTTGTCTCTCTCGGCTTTGTTATAGCGTTCCTTATTATCCGGCACATCAGAGCCACCTGTGTGGTTCTCGGCTACACGTTTCGCCAGGGCCTCCTTCAGACCAGCGGTGGTGGTGGTGGTGGTGGTGGCGGCAGAAGG